CTCAAACCTCCTATTACCTAACCTAAGTTCTGTCCAAAGCAACTCTAAAAGGAGACTGGAAATGATCATATTGAACAGGGAACTGCTCTTTCCAAGGAAATTGTACCCATTTCCCCTACAGAGGACCATGAAGGTTGTTTCAGGCAGCTTGCCCTCACGGCCTGGATTAAGTTCTCATCAGAGGAGTCTAGGTCTTATGGCTCCAGGGACTCAGCCTTCTGCTCTTTTCTGTAAAATAAACTGCACACACCAAGCCATGAATGCCCATACTATCTCTATTTGTATGTTGTGAAATCATAAAGGTTGCCATCATCTAGTATCACATAGGTTAACAATTATCATGGTTTTATCTTTTTATTATGATGAATAACATATGCATAGATATATTATTGGATTTTAGTGTGTTATTTTCATGCATGCATATAGCAAATGGCTAAAACATTCTTGAGCAAGATCAACAAAGCTGGAAGTATCACAACACCAGAAACAGCATGGTATTGGCATAAAAACAGACATGTAAAACAACTAAACAGGAGATCCTAGAACTAAACCCTTGTTGACTAAAACTTTCAAAGCCACCTTCAGCTTCTTTCCATATGTCTCTCTCATCCTCTCCTATCCCTACCTATACAAGTAAAAAGTCCCATAAGTTCTACCTCCATAGTGTGTACCACTTTTCATTGCTCAATTTATTTCTTACAGGTACTCACCACTAGTGTCTTCCTACTTTTGGGTTCTTACCACATCAGTTCATTGTCCATCCTGCCTAGACCATAGAGATCTTATTTCGGTATAGGAACACACTTGTGCTTAAATCCCTGTCACAGATAGCATGCAGATTTTTAGCCCTTGCTTACTTCTTGAGGCAAATTCTATCATATCATCCCATGGCCATTCATTCCAAGTCCACTGAGCTACACACCTTAACCTTTTCAACCTTCAGAAGTGGTCCAAAGCAAATGTAATCTCTCTAAATCTTCCCTAAGCATTCCAGAAAGCAGTGACAATTCTTTTATTATCCCTTAGCATAATGCTCTTATTTTTCTTCATGGTACTTTTTAAATTCTGTCTTGCATTTTTTTTTTTTTTTTTTTTTTTTTTTTGCCATGTCAGTCATGGAGCCTGAACTCTGGGCCTGGGTGCTGTTCCTCAGCTCTTCAGCTCAAGGCTAGCACTCTACCACTTGAGCCACAGTGCCACTTCCAGCCTTTTCTGCTTATGTGGTGCTGAGGAATTGAACCCAGGGCCTCATGCTTGTGAGGCAAGCACACATCTTCTGCCTTCAAAAAGATACCTCATTCTCCTTTGTACCCCCTCCCTGCCACTGGGCTTTAGTCTATGCTTTGCATGCAACAAATGGTCTTCTTTCTTAATGTTCATTGAGCAATTACTATCTGCAAGGCACTAGGTCTAGAAGTATAAGGGAGAAGGGAAGACGCAAAGTAAAAGTGCAATCCCTTCCTTCTAAATTATTTTAATCTAATCAGTGAAGCATGATCACAAGTAACCTAAGCAAGTGAATTAATGTGGAGGTGGAACTGGGTGGAGAGGAAGTTCTGAGTATGGAACAAACATTCTCAGTGTTCCCAATGAGAACACTGGAGGGAGGGGGTGGGGGGGAGTGAAAGAAAGGGCAAGTCTGCTTTTAGATCTCATGTCTGTGCTGTAGTCATAATTAAAGTCCTCTTTAGGTCTGTCTGGCTCATCTGACCCATCCTCCCCATCTCAGAAATGAAAAGAGTAATTTTCCTAAAACAAGACACTGATCATTTAACACCCTGTTCAAATGTTTGCTGTTCAATGAATCAAGCATCAGATAATTGCAGGCTTATGTTAGGAGTTGAAGAGAATACTAGTTTGTAGAGATGAAATAAACTCTAGGAAACAGCTGAAAAACAAAAAGCAAGAACATACTGTGAACAGAATAGGAGTGGGAGAAAAAGGGTGTAATCAGTCTGGGTTGAGATCAACAGAGAACTAGTTAGTGGAGCCAGACTTTAGTGGATGGTCTCTAAGAAAAGTTAGACATACCAAGAGAACTTTAAGCTTCTTTCAATTCTGAGATCTCCATTAATCTTTGAGATGATTTACTCATTCATTCAATAAACACATACTAAGCACTTCAACAAAGCACTAAATATTTATTGAATATCTCCTATGTGCCAGGAGCTTTGTAGATACTAGAACTACAGCAGTGAATAAGAGACTGCATTTAAATGCTTATATATAAGAATGACTGGTGCTAAACTAGTGTAATACATTGTAATCAATATAATGCTGAAAGAGTATACGCTGCTGTACCTCAGACCTGATAGCAGACTAGAGATTGTTCTGCGATGAACTGTGAGGAAAGTTATTAAAGAGGACTGAGCCTCCAGGTAGAAAAACATCATAGACAAAAGTCTGGTGTTAGAGTCTGATATGTACAAGTCTGGTGTTAGAGTCTGATATGTACAAGTCTGGTGTTAGAGTCTGATAGCTATTTGCAAGGGTGACAGCATTGAGTGATAGTGGAAAAGTAGTGAGAAATTAGGCTACAGTGGTAAGCAGGAACAGAAGGTAAAGAATCTTCCTAAGGTATGTCAAGGATTTTAGACTTCATCAACAGGCTTTGGTTAACACTGAAGCATACAGCAATGTATCTGACTTATTAAGTATATAATAACTGTGTACTGAAGAATGGATTAAAGAATGAATGTGTGTATTAATGACTCTCCTTTGCTATAGATTGGGTTTTCTGACTCAGACCTGAGAGTGGATTAATTATCCTTTACCCAAATCCCTTGGAATTAGAAGTGTTTCAGATTTTGCATTCTGGAATAATTCCATATGCAGAATGAGGTACCCTGAAAGAAGGGACTCAAATCTAAATATGATATTCATTCATGTTTTGTGTGTGTATACTAAACACATAGATGGGTTATTTTGTATTTTATATATTTGTATCTGCTTCTGGAACTAGTATTACTGTGACAAGAGGCAGTATCCCCCAGGTTGCAAGGCAGATTGAACTCATAACCCCATAAGCAGTCCCTGAGCTTAATAGAGTTACTCAAAGTTACCTAGCTTATCCTAATGGAATCTACATTCAAGTCAGTTTTTCTTGACGTTAGGGTAAACCTTTTTACCTGGGAATCATTTAACTTACGCTGTGAAGGGTAGCCTAACCCTTTGATGACCCTTGATAAAAAACAAAATAGTCTTCTGACCCTCAAAGACATGTATATTCCTAAATTGGATTATTCATAGTGATGCTATAGAGACAAATTAGGTCTAGAACAGAAAAGGAGAAACATTCCTGATTTTGCCTTTCTAATATGAATAGAAAAAGTGAGACAATTGTGAAACGCTAACCAGAGCTCTCCCTTCAGACACACAGATTTTCTGAGATACAGTTCTTTATCAGATCCCAGCTCTTGCTCAGGAGCATCTACCTGTAGAAGTGAGTGAGCTGCAGGGGCTGGGAGGTGATCAATGTCTCTAGAAAGGAAGAGATTTTCAGAAAAATAAGATGTTATCTTCTAGGCCAAAGATTAGCACTCCACCCTCTTGCTTACGACAAGATGCTCCTGATTTACCAAAGTCACATTCCAGCATTTGGGGTTGATTTGGTTGCAGACATAAAAAACAGACTAGACTCAGTGACAACTAGGAGTCCAAACTTATATCTGAAGTTATTATAGCAGTTAAGTATTCATTTGGCAGACAGAGTATATAGAGCTTTAGAAAGGTCCTTAATATTATTGCAGGGGTGTGTAAATTTGTATACATATTTGTGGATGTGGATGTGCATATATTCATGCATGCATGGTTTTGTGTATCTGCATTTATGTATGTGCCTATTTGTGTGTATGTGTTTGCATATATGTATATGTATATATGTTTATGTGCATGCATATGTGTGCACATGAACCTGTATATATGTTTCTGTGTGTTGAATTGTGAATCTGTGTACATGTGTGCATGCATATGTGTATGATGTATCTGTGCGTATACATGTTTGTGTGTGCATGTTTGTGCATGTATTGCATTCATGTATGTGCTCCATCAGAAAGCCTCGCATGTTTGTGCATGTTTTGCATTCATGTATGTGCTCCATCAGAAAGCCTTCCTGGCATATTTAGCTGTGAGGTTATTAAATACTTCACTTACAAGAAAAACATTTTAAAAAATGCACCCAAATGTGGCTTTCTAGGAAACTCATTTTGCATGTAAAACATACCACTATGAGTGGAGCCAGGTATACACATGTGTGGCAACCACAGGAAAAACACTGGAATCTTCCTCCTGTAACTGAGCCTCCTGGTATCCTAAATTCCATGTCTGCTAACTACTTTCTCAGACAAAACCGGAGCTCAAGCTCAGCAGACTGGAATATGATCTAGACCTTTCCTAACATGGCTGTCACTCCTGCTGCGAATGTATAAGGGACAGCTTAGGTGCCTTAGGAAAAGGGAGATGTGGTTGCAACCTGTGGGCTTCTGGTCCAGGGCAGCTGTTGGGGTAAATAAGAGGCTGTCTGGTCCCAGAGGAGCTGTAGTCAGATTGCTGGATACCCAGTGATAATTCTTCCCCTGCCACTGATATATTGCAAAGCTACTTTGTCTCCTTCCTTACTCATGAGTGACAATTCAAGTTCAGTACTATTTCCCCCATTTTCTCCCTCTGTAGAGATCAGCTTATATAAAACCCAAATGGTTCTCACAGACATAGTAGGCTGGACATATATAGTAGGCTAGACACACACTGAAGTTATGACATCCTTTTATTACACACACACAAGCTTGAGAAATCAAGCTCTCCAAGGGCTGCAGTCCCAAGAATACACCTAGATACTGAGCCAAACCATTCCCTCTCTCCTCGCTTTGTGTATGTTCTTCTATTTTGCATGAAGAATAGCTTAGTGATCATGGACTTCAGCTCTTGCCTGTAGTGATTCTGTTCGTATTTTATTCTTTGCACAGACTAGGAAGGAGGCTTGCTTGCTTTGCGCAGAGGCTGAGCTACAGGAGAAAGCAGAGCCAATGTGATTTATTGAATGCAAGTACTGGACAATTACCAACAACTTGTTCCTCTGTTGCCCCGAACAACCTAAAGTGGTAAGTCAGATTTATTGTCCTCTTTCTTTATGTGAATGTGGGGATTTCTTAGTCACTGATGATTTTTTAAATGTGTTTTGAATTGCTGCAGTTTAAATGATACAAAAAAACTGAATCTTCCAAAGTTAGCTGCAGGCAGTCCATGAAGAATGCAACCAGACACACAGAACAATGGTCTGCAATAGCACACACACACACACACAAACACACACACACACACACACACACACACACACACACACACACACACACACACACCTTTGTATAGCCATAAGGAGGGGGGCATGTAGAAGCCCCATTTTGTGATAACTGGGCATTTTATTTGCAGCATGCTTAATCATATTAAGTATCTGAATAACTGATTACCATTAACTATGAAAGAATAAATTACTTTTTTGTTGCATAAAATCAATTTTCAGTCAGGTTCCAAAATACCTATAAAAGACTCATTGGATAGCATAAAGACAAAATCTACCAATTAGGCTAAAAATCCTGAATGCAAACCCAGAATACTACTAGTTTTAATCCAGTTTGCAGACTGAGCATGCTAATGTCAGCACTCTGTCCATCCTGTGTGAGTATGTCTATAAATAACACCTTGATGGTGATAGAGAGGTACCTGAAAAAGGAGCACAGTGGACACACATCCACTGCCATTTTTCTATTTACGTTCCTAAATCTTTTCTTTAATCCATAAAGATAGATGGTTGGAAAGGTGCACTGGGCCCCAAGTATCCTGTTCATTACTACTTATGTTGGGTTGTGGCCATAGGCAGGACCAGTGAAAATCAAGGATGAGTTTGTTTCTGTGATGGGTCCCAAAGATCCCCATATTCACTTGACTTCCTAATTTCCTAATATGATAGAAGCTGATCTCTACAGAGAGAGAAAAGGGAAAGAGAAAGATATTGCATTTCCTACCTTTTCTCAGCCAGTCTCCTTAGTCTCCTTAGTCTTGTTTGTCTGGCTACCACAAAGCTTTATGGAAGTATTAATCCATCTCTGGTGAGTTCAGAGTCAACATAACTGTGATAGAGTTTAATGTCTTTGGTGCACTCTGTCTGCTGTATATCACTGGTATATGAAGTTGGGGCCTTGGCTGCTGACAAAGATGGATGATGTTAGAACAGTGAACAGCGTGATTCTCTAAATAAAAACCAAAGTCAGGAAATCTGAGAGATGGGTGAAGTTTTGCCTAATAAAAAGAATCCCCAGGCCACTCAATCACAGAGAAGGAACACTTGCTCAAGTGAGCTGGTTATTTTACAACTAAAGGTATTCTAGCAAGAAGGGGATAGAATTGCCTACTGGTTGGATAACTGGTGAGATGTCAGGATTGTATACTATGGTATTTTTGCTGGTTCTCAGACTAAGTTCATGTCTTTGGCAATTCCCTTAGCTTCCTGAATCACCATACCTCCATTCCATCCATTCCTTTGTTTCTTCAAAGACATGCTAAGCTCAGTTAATCTATTCATGAGACATAAGCTTTTTGTTAAAGGTGCACTAGATAACAAGTCACTGTCCATGCACTATACTCCAGAGCTATACAACAGAAATCCACAGACTAGAGTTATATGGAGACAGGGGACTGTGTGCCCTGTCCCTCAATTAAAGGATATGAAACACTCAGAAGCATAGTAACAAAGCCAGCATGAAAGTCTGTAAGATTCTTATCTCCAGTTAACCCCAAAGAGCCAGAGTAGGGTTGTGGCTCAAGTAGTAAAGCTCTAGCCTTGAACACCAGGGGCAGCAATCTAAGACCTGTCTTCAAGTCCCAGAACATGCACACACGCGCGCGCGCGCGCATACACACACACACACACACACACACACACACACACACACACACAGGGCTGCCTTTTAGAAAATATACTGATTCTTAGAGGGAATAACAATTTAAGCCACTGATACCCTGTTGTAAGTGAATGCATTAACATTATTCTTTATTAATTATCATTATGGTTGTTTGGTTATAATTATTGTATTATATTAACTATGCTGCTTTCTCTTTACTTCATACCTAATTATAAGAACTTCTTTTATAATTTTTTCACTTTTGATTAGAGAAGTACACAGCATTTATGGCAAGCTATCACCTTCTATTTTTTTAAAGCCCTTGAGTCACATGTGAACACCAGACTCCCACTTCTCCTTTGACTGTGAAACTCATGGTTCACCCCACATTCCCTTTATCAAAAATACAATCATTGGTAGAACCATTTTCCACCCAGCTGATCAGCAAGGCCCACAGAATTTACCCTCAGGTTTGCTAAACTTTTCTATCCAATCACCATCCCTATTTGGTCCATTTTACCTCCTTCATCACTTAAACCTGTTCAGACTGCTCCATTCCTGTTGCCATAAGCTGTAGTTAATATAACCAGTTCTCATAAGGTTTTTATGCTTTTTTGTTTTTTAATTTATTTCTTATATTTCATTGTAAAGATGCTCTACAGAAGGGTTACAGTTACATGAGTAAGGCAATGAGTATATTTCTTGTCGAACATTGTTACCCACTCCTTTGTTTCTTTGCCACAATCCCTTCCCTCCCCCAATCTTCCCTCCCCATGCCAAGTTGTAAAGTTCATTTCCAACATAGTGTCTTGTATTGCTGTTGCAATGGGTCATCCTTTGTCCTTGTTACAGCATTTTGTTATTCCCTTTCTCTTCCCCAAATCAGATAAGTGTATATACAAGATGCTACCATAATCAAAGACAGTGATTGCCAGGGATTAAACCAATAAAAAAGAAAAATGAAATAAAATAGAAAGATGAACTAGATACAGTACACTGGAGACAACAAGGTCAACAATCAAAAAAAAGCTATTGTTTTCCATGTCTTGGAGTTCATTTCAATTAGCATCATTTTGTATCATCATAAGCACACATAGTTATTGAGCTATTATAATTCTCTGCCAGGACTATCCTAGACATATACCTTCCTCCCCATGAACATATGCTTAAAATGTCAAAAATTAGTTCTCTTCTTGCCACAGAGCAACAATTGATCTTTCAAAACATAGCAGTGAATTCTGTGTGTGTGTGTGTGTGTGTGTGTGTGTGTGTGTGTGTGTGTGTGTGTGTTGTAAATGTGTGTGACTGTTGTAAATGGCACAGTTTCAAACTAGAAGGCTGTCTGACTTTGCTGTTTGCTATATGCCCTCACTGAAGAAGGAAGGAAGGCAGGAAGGGAGGGAGGGAGGGAGGGAGGGAGGGAAGAAGGGAGGGAGGGAGGGAAGGAGGTCACTGGAGTTGTTGAAATCTTTGTATTGTTTGAGGCTTTGGAGTCAGAGTTCAAATCTTACTGCTCCATTTACTGGTTGTAAGCGCTTGGAAAAGCTCTAGGACAGACAGGCACAAAGAAAAGGATGGGAAGGAAGGGGAGGGAAAGGAAGAGAAAAACAGAGAGTGGGGAAGGAAGGGGGAGAAAAAGAAAGAAAGAAAGAAAGAAAGAAAGGATGGAAGAAAGGAAGGAAGAAAGAAAGAAAGGAAGAAAGAAAGGAAGGAAGGAAGGAAGGAAGGAGAGAGGGAGGGAGAGAACGTAGGAAAAGAAAGGAAGGAAGGAAGGAAGAAAAGAAAGAAAGAAAGGAAGGAAGGAAGGAAGGAAGGAAGGAAGGAAGGAAGGAAGGAAGGAAGGAAGGAAGGAAGAAAAGAAAGAAAGAAAGAAAGAAGGAAAGAAAGAAAGAAAGAAAGAAAGAAAGAAAGAAAGAAAGAAAGAAAGAAAGAAAGAAAGAAAGAAAGAAAGAAAGAAAGAAAGGGAAGGAGAGAGAGAAAGGGAAGGAGAGAGGGAAAGAGAGAACAAGCAAGAGTGCAGTTGTTGAGAGCTTTAGATTTGTCGAGACTTTGAAGTCAGAGCTCAAATTTTGTTGTTCATTTACTGGTTATCAGGTCTTGAAAAGTTACCTAACCCCTCAAGACCTCATTTCCTTGTTTTAAAAAAATGAAGATAGAATAACCGTACATACATCCTCTTACAGTTATTATTGCATTTTATTTTACCTATAAAAGCAAAGCTTGATTATATGTATTGAGAGACAACACTGAAGCATTAATGATAAAGGAAAAAGTGAAATGAGTCAAGGAATGAGGAAAAACGAGTGAAGAAGTTTAGCCTGCGTGGTGGCGCACACTGGTAATCAGGCAGAAGGATCACAAGTTAGAGACCAGCCTAGGCTACACCTTTGGAAGTGGACCTGTAGCTCAAGTAGAAGAGCGCTAGCTTTGAGCTCAAAGAGGCGCAAAGACAGCACTCGGGCCCTGATTTCAAGCCCAACAACCAACTTAAAAACAGAAAGGGAAGTATGCACATTGCATTCCATCAACACCCTCCTTCCCCATTAGCCCTGCACCGGTGGTTCATGGCTGACACTTGTAATCCTACCTGTAATCCTAATTACTCAGGAGACTGAGATCTGAAGATTGCAGTTCAAAACCAGCCTGAGCAGGAAAGTCCGTCAGACTCTTATCTACAATTAACCACCAGAAAACCAGAAGTGGAACAATGGCTCAAGTGGTAGAGGGCTTACCTTGAGCTGAAGAGCTTAGGGATAGCACCCAGGCCCAGAGTTCAAGCCCCATGACTAACCAAAAAAAAAAAAATGGTTTATGTGAAGTTTCTGCTTGGTTAACTTAATGATCAAATGATAACTGAACAGATATTTTTTATATGCCTAGATCACCAAGTCTCCGTCTTGCAGAGTGGTTGTGTGTGTGGAGGGAGGTGGTAAGTGTTACAACACTTTCGAGTCAGAACAGGTGACAATTCTGTTTTGGTCTTCACTTCTGCTGGCACAGAGCCTCAAAGTCAGACAGAGATGAAGATCATCTCAGTTGGGGCTGCGAAGGTGGCTCAGTGGTAGAGTGCTTGCCTTGCATGCACAAGGCCCTGGGCTCAATTCCTCAGTACCACATAAGCAGAAAAAGCCAGACGTGGCACCGTGGCTCAGGTGATAGAGTGCTAGCCTTGAGCTGAAGAGCTGAGCAACATTGCCCAGGCC